TGACATTTCATAACCGAAAATTGGGTCATTTTCATCACACCCCGCTATTGCGGAATCTCGCTTTTGACGGACTCCAGGCGACGGTCCCGAGGGTGTCGGTTTTAAGTGTTAATCCCAATGGTGTATTACTTTACATTGTCTTTTTGTATGTGGTCGCTCGTATCTTGAACAAAATATAATATTTAAGAAAGCTTAATCCTTGAGGTTATCGTCAAAAGGTGTAACAGTTAATGTGATATCATTACTGTTTTCTCGGTTTATCAACCACCAAAATATTGCTGACTCATTAAGTTTGCCGTCAGAAGATGAAATGTTGCCTTGGTTTTCTGTATGAAATCTGTTCAATTCACAATTTTTGTATCAACCAAGTGATTTTTCCAATGCAAAGAAAGCAAGCCTCTCAGTAGTTATCTTATGCTTCGAATGTGCACAATACATGAGGCGAGATGTATATTTTGTATCCGTTGCACAATTTTACACATAACATACAGGACATTTGCTAGTTTTATTTGTCTAGTTTGTAAATAGTCCATAAGCACATACATAACTCTTGCGACTCTCACTTCTTATCACAACCGAATGGAATAAAAAAAGCTGTGATCATTCCGAAAGAAACCTCTCAGAAAAGTTCTCGCTGTGTTGTTTGTTGTTGTAGTCGTAGTTTTGCGTGGAACGCTCGCCAATTTGATCTTTGAGGGGAGGGCGTGGTCGAGTGGTTTAGGGCACTGGATTTGAAAGTTCAGATTCCTTTCCCTGCTATCAGCTAGATTTGTTCTCGGTTGTCCCAAGTTGAACTCATCGATGCCACTTTCTTTACAGCCTCTCTCTCACTAGGCATAGGGCTTGGGCACGGTTACGCTAGGCAGCCTCTACCAGTTGTTCAGACTTTTAACAACAAAAAAGCATGTACCAATTTGTTTAATTTTATAAACATTTTTTATCACTCATCGTACATATTGTATTCCACTTCAGCGTTCATGGCATTTTAAACTATTTTTAACTGTTATAAACATGTTACTAATAATTTTGTATTTTTTTAAATCCCAGTTAAAAATGACCTCGGTGAGCTCTAAACGCTATGACACTCTATCGCTTATTTTTCATCACAAAATGTATTAATTTGTTTCGGGTTATTTATTTTTGCCAGCAGCAACCATGACAGGCAGTCAGAGTGCAACAGTGCTGGTCCTTTTGGGTTGCTGTGTAGCAAGTGGTAAGCAATGTTTTCTTTCTTTCAAAAACATGAAGTGGTGGACAGCCATTTTCATTTTTCTCCAAGGCCGTAGCTAGACAAGGGACAAGGGAGCGAGCGCCGCAAGTGCAAGCCACTAGGGTAGTCTGGGGGCATGCCCTTCCCCCTCTCCCCCTACAAAATGCTGTAAGTCATTAGTTCTCTATTATGATCTTCTGGGTGAGGGTAGTTCTGAAAAGAACTGTTGTTGGTGGCTGACGTTTAACTACAAGTTTTTTTCCTGTCATTCGATAAAACGTAAATCGCTTAAGAAAATATATTGAAAGTTTATCACTAAGCTTAAGATAAATGTTTCGAATTCTTGATTAAATTTCCTGTTTTCTTACTTCTTTCAGTGATCATTTCAAGTGCTGAAGGTGAGGTTTTTTTAGTTATTGTTTAAAAGCTGATGTCAATTTTTCGAAAGCTTGACTGCCGCCGAAAAAGTATGGAGCATGTTTTCCTATCAGGAACATGACTTCAAAAAGTTAAATATAAACGAAATTCATTATACATGTAGATGGAAACCTCACTTTAACGGTCCAGTTATGTTAAAAAATTGCTGTCCCCTCAATAATTTATTATGGCCAATCCAATGTTGAATGGTTTCTGCAATTCTCTGTACGAACAAAGATTTGCTTTGACCAGAAATAAAGCAAATTGTCCTGATATCCTGTAGAAGTAATGAACGACAGCTAAGTATTCTAGAGAGAATAAATTGTCGATATTTCTTCCACCAGTATCTGTTCTGAAGTCAATGTCATCATGGTATTACCTTCATCAATCGATACGTAAGAATATATTTAACTCGTGTAGCTATTGCTATATTCCACAGCAATAAGATGCGAGAAGGGCTGGACCAATTTCCAAGACAGCTGTTACCTTCGAGTAAACACCAAAATGACATGGTCAGACGCACAGAAGACGTGTGAGAAGAATGATGCTAACCTTGTCACTGTGAACAGTGAAGATGAAATGACGTTTCTTGGATGGCTAATGAAAAGCAAAGGAGGTTGGAATGGACTGCACCTGGACGAGGATGGCAAAACCTTAGTTTGGAGCAGCGGAGAAAATAGCGACTATCAGAATTGGGGAAAGAGGGGATCCAAGAGGCAGTCGAAACTTCAGAACTGTGTTCACATGTCAGAAAAAACGAAAGGCCTCAAGTGGACAATGTCTAGGTGCTCTATTGAATACAAATTTACTTGTGAAAAAGGTAGGTAAAACATGAAATCTAAAGTCAACTAAATGAGTAGGGCGGATGGACCATAGACATCCTATGCCATCCAAGCTTTCTACGTTTTAACCAGGTTTTGTTTAACACTGATCTTCATCACAATTTTCCGATGGCTTCCAATACTGAAAATCTAAGGGCCTCGACAAAACTAGCGGTTAAAAGGAGTCGACATCTACTAGCGATGGATAGAGATTTTCACACACTAGGGGCCACAGTTATTAATAACTAATTTTTCTGCGAGAGCTTGGTAACTAGTTAAGTCAAATTAGATGAACAGAAGGCGTTTAGACTTTAAATTCGACTTTTTCCCTCGGCACCAGACAAATAACATCAAATGCGCACTGTAAAAAGTTAAATATTGTGTTATTAACAAAAATGTTTGAACATCAAGTATGTGAAGCCCAAATCTCTTTACTAATTTCAGTTGTTGTCTTCGCTGTGCAGTCATATATCTCGCTGACGATATCGTATTATCGTAATTCTTGCTTATGAAATAAAATGTTCAAGACGATTCCTTTTTATAGCAAATGGAAGGAATGTTTTCTTATGCCTAATGTGAATTTAGAATATGTCTGACTTATATTGACTTGAGGTTGCTGAATTTCGTTTTCAGGTTTACTTAAAGAGCCGGAGGAGAAACCCACAGTGGGTAAGGTTAATTTGTTTTAACTGACTATGATCTGATAATTTTTTTAAAGTTTAAAGGATTTAAAAATCCTTTCACGTTACTACTTTTACATGGCCAAGTCTCAGAAGGATTCAGGATCATTACTCAAGATTGGCTAAAGTGGATATTGACCGCAGACTAGGTTTTCTCATATTCATCAAATTCTAGACCAGTCTGGCTGTAGTGTGTTCTGCTTGGAGACGTTAGAAGCAAAAAGCTACACAAAATAAGAGGCATGTTTCTGCTAAAAATACTAAATTGAACAGCCATTAAATAGCTTTACAAGAACGATTAAGGGGACAGGCAAACTTTGACATTCATTCATAATACCATTCTTGTTCTTCAGTTCAAAGAATGTATACGTCACTGCTTGCACATCTTGAAAAGTTTAGCTTCAATATTTCAAGTTTGTCGTTTCTAATCAGTGTTAATTTTTTTCATCCTTAACCATCCTTATTCCTTTATGGTTTATTATTATCTCTTTGGTGTTTTTCTATCTTAGTAAACTACTATATTCAGTCTTCCTTCAATTGAAAGATAATTTTGTACGTGACCAAAACAACCCAAGATACCACGACTGAGTAAAGAACTGAGGACAGAATGTGATAGGCGTGTGTCTGGCATTATATGGTTTCCACTGTAACTAAATAACTAACCATGTACAATTAAACTTATAGTTAGGAATTCGATACGAAAGTCATCCAATTATTGAAGTGACGGGTGTGTGTTTTCATTTGCAGCTGTCCAATGCGACCACGGTTGGGTACATTTTAGTAAGAGCTGCTATCTTCGAGTAAATACAAGAGTCACGTGGTTTCTTGCACAGAAGATGTGCAAAGAAAACGAAGCTAACTTGGTTACTGTCAATGATGAAGATGAAATGAATTTCCTTGGATCGCTAATGAAGGACAAGGGGAGCTGGAATGGACTGCATTTCAAGGCGAACAGCAAAGATGGAGTTTGGAGTAGTGGGGAGAGAAGTGATTATCGAAACTGGGCCAAGACAGGGCCAAAGAGAATTTCTAAGCTGCCACTCTGCGTTCAAATGGCGGCAAAACTAAGAGGTCTTAAGTGGGGAAGGTTCAAATGCTCATTAAAATACAGGTTCATTTGTGAGAAAGGTTGGTTGCATAAAGTAAAAAGCAGGATAAACCATAGCCAAAAATGCTGCAATCTTGCTTTAAGTGATTTCCGCGTGATAAAATCAAATGAAGCAGATCAAAAACTCAAATAATTCTTTACTAGATGGATACTCAGTTGCTTGGCTAGTTAAACGGATGTGCTGCGGCACGCATCCATTTAACTAGTAAATCCAATTCACAATGGTCACAATAGCTAGAGGTGCAGACATCATCAACCTCGACACAAAAACATTAGGTCGGCAGAAAATAATATTAAACAAGTGTCCTTCTAAATTATTCTTTTTCGTTTCAAACCAGTGATCATTATAATCGAAGATTTCTCCGATATAAATATAACAAATATTTTGAACAAAACAGTCCGTAGATGATATAAACTGACATGACTTGTGCCAGTAATCTACCTATTAATTCATTGTTCATTTCTTACGTTTCTCACATTCTTCGTTAATTCTAAAATAATATGCAGAAACATGTTACCTAACCTTCAAACCAAGCTCATGTAAGATCCAGATAATGGATTCCACTATTCATCAGTCTTCGATTTTACTTACATTACAGTTTCCCTTTCTAGAACCACAAGCGATTACTGAGGCACCACAAGTACATACTACCTCAGTACCAAAACCAACTACTATAGCTTTAAAGAAAACTACAGTACCACCAAAAAAAACTTCAGTAAAACCAGAAGTAACTACGGCAGCACCAGAGGTAACCACCGCAGTACCAGAGGAAACCACTGCTAAAGGAAAAGAAACAACTCAAATACCGAAGGTAACAACTGTAGCACCAGAAGAAACCACTGCAGTACCAGAGGTAACTACCGCTGCACCAGAAGACACCACTGCAGTACCAGAGGTAACTACCGCTGCACCAGAAGAAACCACTGCAGTACCAGAGGTAACCACCGCTGCACCAGACGAAACCACCGCAGTACCGGAGGTAACTACCGCTAAACCAGAAGAAACCACTGCAATACCAGAGGTAACTACCGCCGCACCAGAAGAAACCACCGCTGTACCAGAGGTAACTACCACTGCACCAGAAGAAACCACTGCAGTACCAGAGGTAACCACCGCTGCACCAGATAAAACCACCGCAGTACCGGAGGTAACTACCTCTGCACCAGAAAAAACCACTACAGTACCAGAGGTAACTACTGCTGCACCAGAAGAAACCACTACATTATCTGAGGTAACCACCACTGAACCAGAAGAAACCACTACCGTACCAGAGGTAACTACTGCTGCACCGGAAGAAACCATTGCAGTACCAGAGGTAACTACTGCTACACAAGAAGAGACCACTGCAGTGCCGGAGCTAACTACCGCTGTACCAGAGGTACCTACTACTGCACCCGAAGAGACCACTGCAGTACCAGAGGTAACCACCGCTGCACCAGAAGAAACCACTACAGTACCAGAGGTAACTACCGCCGCACCAGACGAAACCACCGCAGTACCAGAGGTAACTACCGCTGTACCAAAAGAAACCACTACAATACCAGAGGAAACTACCGCTGCACCAGAAAAAACCACTGCAGTACCAGAGGTAACTACCGCTGTGCCAGAAAAAACCCCTGCAGTACCAGAGCTAACTACCGCTGCACCAGAGGAAACTACTACAGTACCAGAGGTAACTACTGCTGCACCAGAAGAGACCACTACAGTACCACAGGTAACTACTGCTGCACCAGACGAAACCACTACAGTACCAAAGGTAACTACCGCCGCACCAGAAGAAACCACTGCAGTACCAGAGGTAACTACTGCTGCACCAAAGGAAACCACTGCAGTACCAGAGGTAACTACTGCTGCACCAGAAGAAACCACTACAGTACCAGAGGTAACCACCGCTGCACCAGGAGAAACCACTACAGTACCAGAGGTAACTACTGCTGCACCAGAAGAAACCACTGCAGTACCAGAGCTAACTACCGCTGCACCAGAAGAAACCACTACAGTATCAGAGGTACATACCGCTGCACCAGAAGAAACCACTGCAGTATCAGAGGTAACTACTGCTGCGCCAGAAGAAACCACTACAGTACCAGAGGTAACTACTGCTGCACCAGAAGAAACCACTGCGGTACCAGAGGTAACTACTGCTGCACCAGAAGAAACCACTGCGGTACCAGAGGTAACTACCGCTGCACCAGAAGAAACCACTGCAGTACCAGAGGTAACTGCTGCTGCACCAGAAGAAACCACTACAGTACCAGAGGTAACTACTGCTGCACCAGAAGAAACCACTGCAGTACCAGAGGTAACCACTGCAGTTCCAGAGGAAACCACTGCTGCACCAGAAAAAACCACGGCAGTTCCAGAGGAAAGCACTGCCGCACCAGAAGAAACCACTGCAGTACCAGAGGAAACCACTGCTGCACCAGAAGAAACCACTTCAGTTCCAGAGGTAACCACTGCCGCACCAGAAGAAACCACTGCAGTTCCAGAGGAAAGCACTGCCGCACCAGAAGAAACCACTGCAGTTCCAGAGGAAAGCACTGCCGCACCAGAAGAAACCACCGCAGTTCCAAAAGAAACCACTGCTGCACCAGAAGAAACCACTTCAGTTCTTGAGGAAACCACTTCTGCACCAGAAGAAACCACTGCAGTTCCGGGTGGAACCACTGCTGCACCAGAAAAAACCACTGCGATACCACAGGAAACCACTGCAATTCCGGAAGAAACCACTGCAGTTCCAGAGGAAATCACTTCTGCACCAGAAGAAACCACCGCAGTACCCGAAGTAACCACTACAGTTCCAGATCTGATTAGTATTGTTCCAGAAGAATCAACTGCAGTACCAAAGGAAACTACCGCAGTTCCAGGGGAAACCACTGCAGTACCAGAGGAAACTACTGCAGTTCAGGAAGAAACCACTGCAGCACCAGAGGAAACTACTCCAGTTCCAGAGAAAACCACTGCAGTACCAGAGGAAACTACTGCAGTTCAGGAAGAAACCACTGCAGTTTCAGTGGAAACCACTGCAGTTCCAGAGGAAACCACTGCCGCACCAGAAGAAGCCACTGTAGTACCAGAGGGAACCACAGCAGTTCCAGAGAAAACCACTGTAGTACCAGAGGAAACCACTGCAGGTTTAGAGGTAACCACTGCAATACCAAAGGTAACCACTGCACTTCCAGAGGAAACTACTGCTGCACCAGAAGAAACCACTGTAGAACCAGAGGTAACCACTGCAGCTCCAGAGATAACTACTACTGCTCCAGAGGAAACCACTGCAGTACTTGAGGAAACTACTGCTTCACCAGAAACAACCACTGCGACACCAGAGGAAACCACTGCAGTTCCAAAGGAAACTACTGCTGCATTAGAAGAAACCACTGTGGTTCCAGAGGAAACCACTACAGTTCCCGAGGAAACTACTGCAGTTCCAAAGGAAACTACTGCTGTACCAGAAGAAACCACTGTGGTTCCAGAGGAAACCACTACAGTTCCCGAGGAACCTACTGCAGTTCCAGAGGAACTTACGGGTGCACCAGAAGAAACCACTGCAGTACCAGAGGTAACCACTGCAGTTCCAGAGGAAACTACTGTTGTACCAGAGGAAACTACTACAGTTCCAGAGGTAACCACTGCAATACCAAAGGTATCCAGTGCACTTCCAGAGGAAACAACTGCTGCACCAGAAGAAACCACTGTAGTACCGGAGGTAACCACTGCAGTACCGGAGGTAACCACTGCAGTTCCAGAAATAACCAGTACTGCACCAGAAGAAACCACTACAGTAACTGAGGAAACCACTGTAGTTCCAGAAATAACCGCTTCAGGTCCAGAGGAAACCACTGCAGTTCTAAAGGAATCCACTGCAGTTTCAGAGGAAACTACTGCTACATCAGAAGCAACCACTGCAGCACCACAGGAAACCACTGCAGTTCCACAGGAAACCACAGCACCTGAATTTTCTACGGCTTCAGCTGCAGAATTAACTACTAAACCTGGTATGTGTGGCACAGTTTGTTTATGAATAATGATATAAATATATATAGGACCAGGAGCCAATGAGGCTGCTGATAGGACTACATGTGTGTGGTAATGAATATGGCGTAGATCAAACATTCTGTATCGTGTGCTTGCGTACCATGTACGAAGCTTAATGCGCATTTGAAGTACAATTTGAATTTAATGGAGTCGGGCACGCAGCTTATTAAAAATGTGACCCACTATACAACTCTGGTTCTTACGTCGATTTATTCGTGTACTGAATCAAGTGCTAACTAATCTAATATAATAATTTCTCAGGGTTTTTGCTTCTTTTGTTTTGATTGTTTTTTTGTGTTATTTGCACTCGGCTACAATCGTGTTCCCAGGTATCTGGGTAAATGGTAAAGAATCGGGCGACCTATTGCACCGGGATTGAGTTATCCGATCACTCTTCAGTCGCAATTTGTGTGATACGTCTGATTCTATCAAAAATTTGCTAAAGCTGCGCTCAACTCTGTAACTGTTTAGAATGTTGGTGTGCTCTTAACTGTACGATTGCAGGGTTTTAAAATCTTACTATTTATTTTTTTCATCTTTTGCAATCCACCCATATTGCCGATCAGAAATATTATTCGTTTGTTAGCCAATCTTTAATGTACCTGATTTCTATACGTATTGTTAAAATTGCTTTATTTTCTTGAACAGATAAATTAAGTGTGAGGGAAAGGAAGCCCGAACCTCGAGATTATTTAGACAACTTGTTGATTACGAGGGACAAGGAACCCAAATTTCAGGAGACGACTTTAGACGACCTCTTGATAGCAGAACTTGACAAACCCGCATCAGACCAGATTGATGATCTCGATGACTACTTGAGCACAAGAGAAAACAAGCCCGTGATACATCGGAAGAACGAACCCGACAACTTCTTTAATGATTGGATCCAAAGATACATATAGTCTTTGCTATTGACGAGAACAGGTTTGTCCGAAATAAAGATATGACGTCTGGATGGGTTGAACTAAGCGGTGGCCGAGAACTTGTCAAAATACCCGTTTTTAACTGAAAGCTCAGGAACAAATAAAATTTAAGGTGGTTCCATAGGGTAATCATTTGTCGTGTTGCACGCTATTGTTACATCAGTTTGAAAGTTCATTTCGCATTCCACCCAGCTGACTCTAACGTTTTAAGTGTAATAAGCAATGATGAAATAATGCTTTTCATCATCTCTGTTAAAATAATGGTTCTTAGCTTCTTGCATTAAAACTGCTCTAACAAATGCATTTTTCATCGTTTATGTGGCAACATTTGTGGCTTTCTTGAATTTCCTTCGGTGGAATCTTCCAGCATTTTCACAATACATCGAATCTGGCCAGATAAGACTTTCAAGCAAGTAAAAAGTAGAGTTTGTACTGGCAGTTTTTTTTCTCAATGTTTGCAAATTTGCGTCTTTTGCCGCTGCATAAGAACTAGTCAGATAGACTTCCCTGGAAAACGAGCCCTAAATGAAGTAAAATCGTTATTACTAGTCTCCCAAATTCATGGAATTTCATCGAAGGAAACGCGAGAAAATTCAGTCTGTTTTGTTTTTGTGGTCAACATACGCCCTATGCATACACACGAAGGGACCGTTGTTCCCGCTCTTCACCTCCCCGCAACATAGTCCATAGTGTGTGCCGACCTTAGCTTTAGGGGAAGCGATAGCTGACATTCCCGCAAAACTGAGAAAAGCTTAGCTCTGTTTCACACAGCGTCGTTGTCGTTGTATTTCTCTTCGCAAGTGAACCAATGGTCCGACGGCGCTCTGCGTTTCGCAACCTAACTATTCAACACCGCGATACCAGTCACCGATAAAATACAAATAACCGCGCATGTGCACGAGGTAGGTGTGTGTTTTTATCGTGCAGATGTGTTGCCACGGTTAGTAAGAGTTTTTAGTTTAGGCCAGTCCATTTACGAAATTGTAAAGCTCTTTATTGATCAAAATTGCGTCTATTTAAAAATCAACCAGTAACAAGAACAGTATGGTACATTACGTTCGCATACGAAAGGAGAAGAATCATTTAGCTGATTGACAGCATGAAAATAAAGACTCACGGAAAATTGAAGTTACCTTAAATCTGCCTAAAGTAAGTCAAGTTTTCGTTTTTATGAAGCCAACATTTGCGCTACCGAGTGTAAAGTTGACGTAAAGCTGGGGTAAATTAAAGTTGGCATGTGAGTTTAAGCAACAACTTAAAGTTAATGTTCGATTAAAATTTTTAGTCTCCTTAAGGAAGCTTAATTTGAAACTTATATTTAGCTTGTGTAAAGCTCATCGATAAAGTGTAAAGCTGCTTAAAGTAGAATATTTACGACGGCATTACGACAACTTTACACGGCAGGTAAGTTAGGTTTCATATACTCTGTATAAAGAAACGTTACATACAGAAAGCAATCAGTATTATAAAATATAGCATAGTGACTTGATCTTTGGAATTAAAAAATTCTGCAAAGGTAAGAATTATCTTTAGTAATTGGGGAACTAAAATTCAAAACAGTGCGGGGAGGCTGAAATACGAACGAAACTGTCTTATGATAATAAAGATTCACGCAATGATAGGTTAGGAAATCGTCACGACATTCAAAACTGTAACGTTTAGGAGAATATATGCAAGTTATAGTTGATCTGAAATCTGGCGAGAATGGAGATGGTAACGTGTTTTCAGCTAAAAGGGACGCTAATTTTAAGAATGCTAATTTTGAGACGNGCACCAGAAGAAACCACTGCAGTTCCAGAGGAAACCACTGCTGCACCAGAAGAAACCACTTCAGTTCCAGAGGTAACCACTGCCGCACCAGAAGAAACCACTGCAGTTCCAGAGGAAAGCACTGCCGCACCAGAAGAAACCACTGCAGTTCCAGAGGAAAGCACTGCCGCACCAGAAGAAACCACCGCAGTTCCAAAAGAAACCACTGCTGCACCAGAAGAAACCACTTCAGTTCTTGAGGAAACCACTTCTGCACCAGAAGAAACCACTGCAGTTCCGGGTGGAACCACTGCTGCACCAGAAAAAACCACTGCGATACCACAGGAAACCACTGCAATTCCGGAAGAAACCACTGCAGTTCCAGAGGAAATCACTTCTGCACCAGAAGAAACCACCGCAGTACCCGAAGTAACCACTACAGTTCCAGATCTGATTAGTATTGTTCCAGAAGAATCAACTGCAGTACCAAAGGAAACTACCGCAGTTCCAGGGGAAACCACTGCAGTACCAGAGGAAACTACTGCAGTTCAGGAAGAAACCACTGCAGCACCAGAGGAAACTACTCCAGTTCCAGAGAAAACCACTGCAGTACCAGAGGAAACTACTGCAGTTCAGGAAGAAACCACTGCAGTTTCAGTGGAAACCACTGCAGTTCCAGAGGAAACCACTGCCGCACCAGAAGAAGCCACTGTAGTACCAGAGGGAACCACAGCAGTTCCAGAGAAAACCACTGTAGTACCAGAGGAAACCACTGCAGGTTTAGAGGTGACCACTGCAATACCAAAGGTAACCACTGCACTTCCAGAGGAAACTACTGCTGCACCAGAAGAAACCACTGTAGAACCAGAGGTAACCACTGCAGCTCCAGAGATAACTACTACTGCTCCAGAGGAAACCACTGCAGTACTTGAGGAAACTACTGCTTCACCAGAAACAACCACTGCGACACCAGAGGAAACCACTGCAGTTCCAAAGGAAACTACTGCTGCATTAGAAGAAACCACTGTGGTTCCAGAGGAAACCACTACAGTTCCCGAGGAAACTACTGCAGTTCCAAAGGAAACTACTGCTGTACCAGAAGAAACCACTGTGGTTCCAGAGGAAACCACTACAGTTCCCGAGGAACCTACTGCAGTTCCAGAGGAACTTACGGGTGCACCAGAAGAAACCACTGCAGTACCAGAGGTAACCACTGCAGTTCCAGAGGAAACTACTGTTGTACCAGAGGAAACTACTACAGTTCCAGAGGTAACCACTGCAATACCAAAGGTATCCAGTGCACTTCCAGAGGAAACAACTGCTGCACCAGAAGAAACCACTGTAGTACCGGAGGTAACCACTGCAGTACCGGAGGTAACCACTGCAGTTCCAGAAATAACCAGTACTGCACCAGAAGAAACCACTACAGTAACTGAGGAAACCACTGTAGTTCCAGAAATAACCGCTTCAGGTCCAGAGGAAACCACTGCAGTTCTAAAGGAATCCACTGCAGTTTCAGAGGAAACTACTGCTACATCAGAAGCAACCACTGCAGCACCACAGGAAACCACTGCAGTTCCACAGGAAACCACAGCACCTGAATTTTCTACGGCTTCAGCTGCAGAATTAACTACTAAACCTGGTATGTGTGGCACAGTTTGTTTATGAATAATGATATAAATATATATAGGACCAGGAGCCAATGAGGCTGCTGATAGGACTACATGTGTGTGGTAATGAATATGGCGTAGATCAAACATTCTGTATCGTGTGCTTGCGTACCATGTACGAAGCTTAATGCGCATTTGAAGTACAATTTGAATTTAATGGAGTCGGGCACGCAGCTTATTAAAAATGTGACCCACTATACAACTCTGGTTCTTACGTCGATTTATTCGTGTACTGAATCAAGTGCTAACTAATCTAATATAATAATTTCTCAGGGTTTTTGCTTCTTTTGTTTTGATTGTTTTTTTGTGTTATTTGCACTCGGCTACAATCGTGTTCCCAGGTATCTGGGTAAATGGTAAAGAATCGGGCGACCTATTGCACCGGGATTGAGTTATCCGATCACTCTTCAGTCGCAATTTGTGTGATACGTCTGATTCTATCAAAAATTTGCTAAAGCTGCGCTCAACTCTGTAACTGTTTAGAATGTTGGTGTGCTCTTAACTGTACGATTGCAGGGTTTTAAAATCTTACTATTTATTTTTTTCATCTTTTGCAATCCACCCATATTGCCGATCAGAAATATTATTCGTTTGTTAGCCAATCTTTAATGTACCTGATTTCTATACGTATTGTTAAAATTGCTTTATTTTCTTGAACAGATAAATTAAGTGTGAGGGAAAGGAAGCCCGAACCTCGAGATTATTTAGACAACTTGTTGATTACGAGGGACAAGGAACCCAAATTTCAGGAGACGACTTTAGACGACCTCTTGATAGCAGAACTTGACAAACCCGCATCAGACCAGATTGATGATCTCGATGACTACTTGAGCACAAGAGAAAACAAGCCCGTGATACATCGGAAGAACGAACCCGACAACTTCTTTAATGATTGGATCCAAAGATACATATAGTCTTTGCTATTGACGAGAACAGGTTTGTCCGAAATAAAGATATGACGTCTGGATGGGTTGAACTAAGCGGTGGCCGAGAACTTGTCAAAATACCCGTTTTTAACTGAAAGCTCAGGAACAAATAAAATTTAAGGTGGTTCCATAGGGTAATCATTTGTCGTGTTGCACGCTATTGTTACATCAGTTTGAAAGTTCATTTCGCATTCCACCCAGCTGACTCTAACGTTTTAAGTGTAATAAGCAATGATGAAATAATGCTTTTCATCATCTCTGTTAAAATAATGGTTCTTAGCTTCTTGCATTAAAACTGCTCTAACAAATGCATTTTTCATCGTTTATGTGGCAACATTTGTGGCTTTCTTGAATTTCCTTCGGTGGAATCTTCCAGCATTTTCACAATACATCGAATCTGGCCAGATAAGACTTTCAAGCAAGTAAAAAGTAGAGTTTGTACTGGCAGTTTTTTTTCTCAATGTTTGCAAATTTGCGTCTTTTGCCGCTGCATAAGAACTAGTCAGATAGACTTCCCTGGAAAACGAGCCCTAAATGAAGTAAAATCGTTATTACTAGTCTCCCAAATTCATGGAATTTCATCGAAGGAAACGCGAGAAAATTCAGTCTGTTTTGTTTTTGTGGTCAACATACGCCCTATGCATACACACGAAGGGACCGTTGTTCCCGCTCTTCACCTCCCCGCAACATAGTCCATAGTGTGTGCCGACCTTAGCTTTAGGGGAAGCGATAGCTGACATTCCCGCAAAACTGAGAAAAGCTTAGCTCTGTTTCACACAGCGTCGTTGTCGTTGTATTTCTCTTCGCAAGTGAACCAATGGTCCGACGGCGCTCTGCGTTTCGCAACCTAACTATTCAACACCGCGATACCAGTCACCGATAAAATACAAATAACCGCGCATGTGCACGAGGTAGGTGTGTGTTTTTATCGTGCAGATGTGTTGCCACGGTTAGTAAGAGTTTTTAGTTTAGGCCAGTCCATTTACGAAATTGTAAAGCTCTTTATTGATCAAAATTGCGTCTATTTAAAAATCAACCAGTAACAAGAACAGTATGGTACATTACGTTCGCATACGAAAGGAGAAGAATCATTTAGCTGATTGACAGCATGAAAATAAAGACTCACGGAAAATTGAAGTTACCTTAAATCTGCCTAAAGTAAGTCAAGTTTTCGTTTTTATGAAGCCAACATTTGCGCTACCGAGTGTAAAGTTGACGTAAAGCTGGGGTAAATTAAAGTTGGCATGTGAGTTTAAGCAACAACTTAAAGTTAATGTTCGATTAAAATTTTTAGTCTCCTTAAGGAAGCTTAATTTGAAACTTATATTTAGCTTGTGTAAAGCTCATCGATAAAGTGTAAAGCTGCTTAAAGTAGAATATTTACGACGGCATTACGACAACTTTACACGGCAGGTAAGTTAGGTTTCATATACTCTGTATAAAGAAACGTTACATACAGAAAGCAATCAGTATTATAAAATATAGCATAGTGACTTGATCTTTGGAATTAAAAAATTCTGCAAAGGTAAGAATTATCTTTAGTAATTGGGGAACTAAAATTCAAAACAGTGCGGGGAGGCTGAAATACGAACGAAACTGTCTTATGATAATAAAGATTCACGCAATGATAGGTTAGGAAATCGTCACGACATTCAAAACTGTAACGTTTAGGAGAATATATGCAAGTTATAGTTGATCTGAAATCTGGCGAGAATGGAGATGGTAACGTGTTTTCAGCTAAAAGGGACGCTAATTTTAAGAATGCTAATTTTGAGACGCTAATTCTATACAAAACATTCCCCATTAACTGTAAGGAGTTTCTGAGAAGTTTCTGAAAAGAACCAGTGAGTCATAAGCAAAGAGATTGACTCTCCTTCACTTTTTCCTGATTTCCGCGAGACAGATTCTAAACTTCAATAATTGTACGAATCAACAAGAAGCATTGAATGTCAAAATCCTGCCTCGAAGAGCTGACTGAGCCACCTTGTTTCGTCATAGTCGTCACTAAGCGACACGCATGACGTAAGGCGGTAAGCTATCATGATGTCTTTCGGACTGTTCACGTGTTCTGTTCGTTGATTGGCAGAAAGAATCGACAACTTTACGTGCCATTTTAAAAGGATCATTAGAACAAAAGTGGAGCATTTGCTACTTCAACTAAATCAAAAGGATGGACGATTTTTTTGCAAATAGAATTCCATTTACAAATATTTACGCCCTGATATTTTCGGACTTTACAATGCTAGTTGCATCTTGAGCTAGGAAGCCTGTAATGCTCGTGGAATTTATTAACTGGCATAGAATAAGGACCATCTCCACGCGCCCTCCGCAGACATATTCCACGTTCAGATCTTGCTAACCAGAGCCATTAACAGTGAAATATGTTGATCTGGTACATAACCGTGCAGCGATTTCTCACGTTTCTTTCGAATTTCGTTGAGATTGTAGACGCTGTACATTTGATTAGTTAGATGTCTTTAACAATCGCAGTGATAAAAAAAAGGCAATTAGCATAAAGTCTACAAGTCAATATCTACATCTGAAGAATCATTATCATCCTCGTCGTCTTCATCATCTCCAGACACGCTATCATTAGGACCCGTACCGTAAAATGTCAGCTTCCATTCTAAAAACACTCCTGAACTAATCCGCCCAGACTCCGGGTTTAACCCCGGAACAAACTCTTCTTGAAATCCATTATTGACTTGCACCCGCTGGGACCCAGTCTCTTCAGTTGTGACCTGAACACGCTGTCCCTGATAATCCGTATCTGTTCGTTTACTTTCGGATACCTTCGGTGGTTCGTCGGGCTCCTTCGTGTAAATGTAACGATCGTATCCGTAAACTTGGTTACTTTCATCGTCACCATTGTCCTCATCACTAAGTGTTTTTTTCGATGCTTTTAACATCTGATAGTTATTGTCCTGTGTGACGTCTGGTGTTTCAAACGCGGCAACAAAAGCGTCCGGATCTTGGCTAATTCCTACTCCGTTTTGAAAATCCTCTGGGAGAATGGTATCGAACATTCCTGGTTCATAACTTTCCAATACCTCTGCCTCTGTATTGCCTGGCACTTTGAAGCGCAAAATAAACATTAGTTCAAACATGCTGGAAATTAAGAGACCTACAATGGATATGACGTGTTTTTAGATATTCCTCATATAATAAACCTGTAATTCAAGTGAACGTCATTTTAATTGTTAATAAAAGCAGTTTTCAGTTGTGTGTTGTAAAATACATATGGGTTATTGACCAAGCGTGAGGTCAAGATGGCCGGATATTGGCCAAGTTCTTTTTTTGCGAGTTCATGGACCGAGACGGAGTCGAGGNGCGGGACACGGCGGGTAGTCCCGAGCGGGCAAGATAGCTCCATCTTGCCCGCTCGGGTAGCCAATCACAGCGCAGGATTTGATTCATCTCGCCCGCTCGCGGAGCTAGCTATATAATAATAAACACTAATGTAGTCACTCTAGCCAATAACAGACCGCAGACGGTCCAAGGAAACAATGAAAACTTGAAGCAAATACGCGTAGCCGGTACGAAGCGAGGGAAAACGCTTGCGAGCAAGTCACTATTGGTTCTGGCTTTAATCCTGATCGAATGACAAAATGAGCGAGTTTTTAAGCAATTTGTTTAGTGTAATGATTCAAAGAAAAAGTAAATGCGAATTATCTTCGACACTCAAGTGAAAACCGCAACTGTCTGAAATTTTGCCGGTCTAAGTTTTATAGGACAAGACATTTTACCCTATAGTGCCTTTTTCCAGCCAGGAATAAAAATTGTTACCGCAAAACTGAGATACCCTTGCCTGATCTGGCATCCCATCATACGACAGTAGTCCCTTTACACTATGAAAACCGATACAAGTTCCAATGGTGTGCGCCACGTTTGTGGTTTGAATGCTTACCGTTTACCTCAGTAACACTTGACCCTACTGCAACGTTGGTCAAGCCACGGTACTTCTGGAACAAGGTATTAACTTCATTTCATGTGTTTGTCCATAGGCCAGGCCTAAATTCTTAATTTTTGTAAGTCTGTGGGATGACGGCATTAATTTCGAAAAGAACAATACAAAATGCAATCAATTTTTAAGGGATAGTTTCACAGTGCGGCGCATGTGCAAGCCATACATGATGTCTTCGACCAATTGCACGTCGATAAGAAGGGTATCATGCTACTTTCACAAAATCATAGTCTGCAATTACTGAAATACATGTGGTTGACACGAAGACAAAAATGTACTTTATGCAGGGAGTCGGAACATACGAAAGGAATTTTAATGAGGAACCTTACCTCTATCGTCACCGCTGAAATCATCAGCGCTCTTCCCATTGTTTTACAACCAATAAAAATTAATGCTTAACGTTATAGCTTGCACATGCACTGAGACGTGAAAGCCTAACTTTAACTTTGTGTTATTTTCATCTGCAAATAATGAAGGTCTTACTTCTATAATTTCATGCAGGTCTTTATTTTCTGTACTTACCATCAGCTTTCACGTTTTCCTCTTCATGATCATTAGTTGATTTAGCCTGTGGAGCCTCTGGTATGTGAATCTTGTGTTTTTTCACCCCCTCAGGGTAAGGGGCATCCCAGGCCGCGCCTTTATTGTTTTTAGCTCTATTTGGTCCATCTTTGTTAGCCTCTAGTTCCTGAGTTTTCTTCTCGTCGTCAATGACCTTTAAATTCGTGATTGACACAACATAATTAAGAAATTTAATTGAAGTATATACTCCGTAAATGCGCCCTCCGGAAATACTTGCCGCACGTTCCCAAAGCAGCCTGGCCCTTGCATCACGAGCGAGAACCTACATTTACCCATCAGACCCAATCAAACTCTACCCTGAGCTTGAATTAGTAAAAAGGTAAAGTCTGCATACGAGTTAAGTGGCCCATCAGACCAGAGCTTATCCCGGGTTCTCTAGCATGAAGCGACTAGGAGTATTTCTACTCCCCCCTGGATGGGATGCTAGTCCATCGCAGGGTTACCCCCAGCATTAAGTTCGCCGGTACCCATTTATACACCTGGGATAATAGAGGCACTGTGAGAGTTAAGTGTTTTAATTTGTCCAAGAACATAACACAGTGTCCCCGGCCAGGGCGTAAATCCAGACCGCTCGATCCGGAGACAAGCGCACTAACCACGAGGCCACGGCGCCTCCCGGGTAAAGACAGTTCTGTGTTTTAATCAATGCGCACTATGCTGCATCAAACCATAATAAACACGCCCTCCTCTCCATCTCCGACTCGATGTTTTTTTTTTCTCTTTACAACCACCGCATAAACCTTTTAGTAGGAAGGGGAAAACGTTTTGGATGTTGGTCAGTATACCAGAAAAATTGAAGTATGTTTTTTCTTTCAGTTAGGTGTTCCAACTAGCTTTGCGCGAGGTTGTAGCGCCATGTTACCTCCTCTTCCAAGTCCTCCACATCGGCTTCCTGTTTGCTAGTGTCATGTTGGAGATATCCATTCACGTCGACCCCTTTGTTCAACGTAGCGATGTTATCAGTCACGTTCATCACCCACACTCCCTTGGGATTCTCTCCCCAGTTGTGCACGGTCATGAACGTCCAATCGTGAAGGCCGTTCTTAGAATCGTCATAACGACGGGTCGACAACATCTCGTTCCTAGTCCCACTCGGCGAGAACAGGTCGATGCTGACGTCACCACGCCTCCGGTGTTGGAAGCTGACGGTCAGAGTCACGTGTTCCAACTTGTTGATTTCTTTGTCAGTTCCGTCACATGCGATGGTGTCTATAGTGATTGACAACGTTCCGCCAGCGGGAATTTCCCTGCAAGAAGTTCAGTATCGATATAAAAATTCTCCTGATTGTTTGTTATACATTTTCTGTGATTTCTTTTGAAAGAATTTGTATTGTGGTCACCACTTGTTTGTTCTTTTTAATTATAACCCAATGACCTGTTGTCATACCGGAGGGCAACAAAAATTAGAGCGGAATTTATCATCGTTGAAAATTAAGTTTCGCAAGTCATATAATGTTATAAATCCGAACTAAATAGTTGCCACATAAACCAATTTGCGTGAACGAAGGAAAAATTTGCAATCAATTCAGTCCTTCACCGTAATTTCGATAACGTTTCTATATAATGAGTGTATAGCTATTTTAGATTCTTCTTTGACTTGAAGGACAGAAAATTGGGGTCTTTATACCGTTCCACTTTAAGCAGTCGGCATAACTTTCTACTATTTCTCTCAAACAAAAATGTAGATGCTCCCGTTTGTGTTTTGTCTTTGTACTGAATGTGTTACGCTAATAGCTTATCACCCCACAGGGTCCACTTTGCTGATATTTTATAGATATTACTCACTGTTGTGTCTGACTAGAGGGTCCGTGACAGGTTCTTTGTGGTGCTACGTTTTTCCATGTCTTCGCTTTCTTTACCATGGCTCCCGCGTCTAACCTTCCAAAGCCAAACTTGTGATTAAAATGGTAGCCAGCTCCATTTTTCATCCATCCTTCATCAACTGGGCTCGTTACCTGAGCAGTTTCAACCACAAGATGTTGGACATCTCGCCATGAGAGGTTTGGGCTGAAAAGAAATCAACCGATTGTCAAGCAGAATATTTGTGTTGTCAACGGCTAAGAACCTCTACTTTTCGACCACCCATTTATACGACTACATTACTACGTACATGGAATGTTTAGACGATTCTTTTCAAATATAACTGAATAACCCGCCTTTAATACGACCAGTCCGAGTGCTAAAATTGTTTGTAGAAGACAATGGAAAGTAACATACTTCGCCTGCAAAACGAGAGCAAACATTCCTGCGGCCAGAGGAGCAGCAGAGGACGTTCCCTTGAACTCTTCTGTGCACTTATGATGAAGATCTGTTGTTACCTAAGACAAAAGAAAAGAATGGTTTGTACTTATGTGAACAGCACGCGTTATCGATCAAGTGATCCATTTTGGTTGAATTTCTCTCCGGCAATAAATGTTCCTGAAACAATATTTCTGTGAATACTGCTTTCGATCAAGTAGGAAGAGTTGAGAGTTAAAATAAACACAAATAAATAAATAAATAAATAAATAAATAAATAAATAAATAAATAATAGGAATTTGCTATGGCACATCCCCCGGAGAGGCTCTTCTCGATCCCCTGTTTCCAGATCGAATTAAAATTTAGAAGTGTTGGTTTTTTGTGGATGGTTGAAAACCGGAGAAACCTGGGAAACCTCTCGGAGTAAGGCGAGAACCAACAACAAACTCAACCCACTTATGACGCCGGGTCCAGGATTCGAACCCGGGCCACATTGGTAAGAGGCGAGCGCTCTCACCACTTCACCATAGTCTCTCTCCAAAGAGTTATTAGTGAGCTTAAGCAACGACTACGGTGACGCCGAGGACGACGCCAAGTGAAAACTGAATTTATATTTTACCAGCGAAATTCGCAATTGTCTAGGTCTGTTCAGAACGCCAATGGCTCTAAAAACGTGCTCAGGCTAAATATGCAATGACAGCCTTCAATTCCAAATGGAAATACGAGGAAATTGGCCGTCGTCGTTCGCGTTCCTCAGACTACGCAGAACTTAGTCGTTTCACCTTCTTGTTTTGCAGAGGACGGCTAAGAAATGCACTAAGATTAAAAACGTACGAACTATTGTTTTTCTCATTAAACCTTTTGTTTGGTGACGTTCTCGTTGCCGTCGTCGTCGTGGTTTACTTAAGCTCCATAAATATGTCTTCTAATTTTGAAATGCTTACCATTTTATTTTCTTCCTTTTCTCTGTGTGATCCTCCGTTGAAAGTAACACCCAGGGTAGACGAACATAGCTCAGTGTAATAGGCCGACAGACCATGATCACCTATGCACCCTACTGATATGGTGTAGATACTGGTGGTGTAACCATCACAGTTACAGTCATCATCTGTCAGACCTCCATTACCAGTCGCCCACACGTAGATGTTACCTTTGCCGCCACGACCCTGAAAAAATGCATGGATATGTCTATCGCACCAAAACATTGCGGTTGGGACACCTTAACTATTATACCACTTGACAATTTTTGTGCAGGCCAGGACATCTGCCGCGGTGGGGGAGGGAAGGGGATGGGGGACTCTCACATGAAAAGGCCGGGAATGCCCAGCGTGGCTCAAGCTATGTTTGACTCCCAAAAGATACCACTTAAAACAAGATAGGCTTGATCGCCAGCCTCTGCTCCGGAAAGGAGCCCGCGCTAGTATAGTAGTCCGGACTCGAGAGACCGGTGGAAATCGAGCCAAAAAACGGATATGAGAACGTTTATTATCATTATTTCTTGGAGTGTACCCTAAAAGATACTTTGACAGCTAAAAATAGTGGCGTTTCGTCATGAGCACCCTAAATGAGACCAGAATCCTTGATTTATACCCCTACGCGAGAAGACGAGTATTCCCCGACATTGAATATGGGAATTCCCCTCGGGGGGACATTTGTAATGTTAACGTAACTACCACAATATCGTCAGATGCGTCAAAATAATCTTCTGCTACAGCTAACTAAGTGTTTCGTCTTTACCTTGAGTGCGCCCTGCATTAACGCCTCTTGTGCCAGTTTTCCTGGTTTGCCAAATGTTTTGCCATCATCCTTAGGACCCCAGCAGTTACTGTAGATGTCAATGTATTCTGACTGGAAGCTAAGAGAGCTTCCTTCCAACACATCAGTCGCCTGGCCATCTAACATTCGCACTCCTTCAAAACATAAAACGAGGAAATTCTTTAGTCATATGAACTACTTTATTGCATGTTGACTGGTAATTTGGTTCCGTTTGGTTTTCTAGTAGCATAATGATACGCTTAAATACCACTTTTATTACCCCATTCTAAGCTATTACAAAGATGTATTCTGGGATAAAAGTAAAATAAATTACTCTATTTAGAGAGGAAGCCACATTGGCCTTAGCTGGTTTTCATGCTGGTCGTCTATCCTGGTCGAATTGAAATTTGGTTTTTGTGGAGGGAGGAAAACCGGAGAACTCAGCCCTCGGAAGAACCATCGGAGTGAGGCGAGAACCAAAAACAAAATCAACCCGGGTCACGTTGGTGGGAGGCGTGCGCTCTCACCAATGCGCCACATCTGCTCCCCATAAATTGACCATTTTTAAAGGATTATGTATTGTGAATCAGCCAATCACGTGGAAGTTATTTGAAACAGGTTTAATTCAGTTATAAACTAGGGTCTGCAACTGGCTAGTGTGAACCCTTCCATGTGGCAATACTTTCATTATTAACTCTCATTCAACTTCTATATGAAAATGTTGTCGTGTTTAGGAAATTGGATGTAAATTGGATTTTAAACTGGTATTTAATGAATCGAATGCCGTAAAAACCTAGCAAGAGACAAACAAACGAAATAAGAACTTAACGAATATCTCTCTCTTCGTTTACCACAAGACAGGAGTCTAGTAGGTTTTCACCTATTATACTGGTTTCTCTAAGGCAACAAGACAAAACTGGTTCTGGGAAAATACTACTCGGCAGTAATCGTTACAATTTCACTCTATCTTATAGATATCAGTAGTTACTATTGTTTAATCCGTATAAACTATGACGGACTGTTATGTGCTGAATTGTCTCAATGTAATGTTTACCTCCAATATTGGCATCATAAGCTACACCTACTCCGCATACACTGTTGTTAGCTACCGCTGCCACCTCTCCTGCACACCGTGTGCCGTGACTGAAATGTTGAGAAAGTTCCATAAGTAACAAACAAACAAACAGGTGATGCCAGAAGCACCTTGTTTCTTCATTAACTTCTGTGCTGTTCTATTTATTTCCTTAAACATTACGAACTGTAACTCATATCAGTCTAACGGGGTAGATATCGAATCGAAGTCGTCACATAACGATGTGATTTAAAACCTCGTTGCAAAAACTGTCACTTCTCTCGAAGAGTAGGGCATGTAGTTATCAGTGTTGGGGTCTGGCCTTGTCTCTCTGGTTGCTGCTTCACATAGGGTTGCACCTTTCCCCCTTGGACACAATTGTCCAAGAAAAATTGCTGCCTTGCTATATCTACATGGAACCCCTGCCCATCAATGTTACAGTAAATGAGTCTCAACTAATCACGCACAGCACGCGTAGTAAATTTATGAATCCGATAAGAGTGGAGGAGGATGTATCGAGTACGAATACTTAAATTATGCTCTTGCGGGTATAAAAAAAAATGGAGAACCCGGACAACTTTGTTGCGCATCACGTTCGCAACCGGGTTTCATACTGGAGGACTGAGTTTCAAATGATCACGTGAGGTACTTACCAGTTGTCAGGATCACTGTCTCTTGGCTTGGGATCAGCGTCCATGTCATTAAAATCATAGCTGGCCTTTTGGTCCTACGTGAAAAAGTCAAAAAAAAAAAAAGAATCCTTATTTACCTTGATCGGCTTCCGAAACTTTGATACAACAAAAACACTGAGAAACACCTATACAGCGCAATAAAATTGCAGGTGCAATATTTTGTACGAATGTCTTCCGTGTGTATGAAAATCTATAAATTTAAATACAATGAAAAACAAGGAATTTTTTTAATTTCCGATTCAGATTTATATTTTGCTGCCACACTGACTAATGGTATCTCTTATTACTTTAAATGGTTTTATAGGATCTAGTTGGTCATCAATAATGTCAAAAATGACTTCTTCCACTTACAAAATTATCTCTAAGATCTGGATGCGTGTGATCCACTCCATCATCAAGAATACTAACAACAACTCCTCTTCCCGTGATACCTTGCCGCCAGACCGGCATGACATCGAGGTCGACACCTGCTGGGCCGGTTGACTGGCCTTGATTTAACTATACACAAGAAAATAACATAATAATACATTCTAAGAGGATTGAAGAAATAGCAGCTAGAGTCGTATGATAACAGATTATGACAGTTAATTTTAAAATTACGACATGGTCTGGAACACCCACAAATTCCTGCTCGTTTATCAACATATTTTCGCTTTACGTTTTCAATTCTTTTCCAAAGCTTTTGTCCCAAATACGTTTGCGTCTATATATCACTACCCTCTTACACACTTAGCTCAATTTCGATCGGAAAACCATGTGATATTTTCCTTTATATAATATGTCGAGTTATTCTTGCAGTTTGATTGGCTCTTACCTATTATCTATTGGGAGACAGACGCATAGATGACGTCCTTAACCATTTTTTTTTATTTATTATATAAAACAAGTAGAGTCCATGTTGCCTTACGTCTGTTCAGTAACAGATCACAGAAGACGTCAAAATGTGGTAAGAACATCAGTGACACATGAGGCGATAGCCGAGTGTTCCACCTTTTTTGTTCCTGACGCATTTTGACGTCATTTTTGATCTATTACTGAACAGACACACGGCGACATGGAGTTTATTTGTTGTGAAACTGAGAGCCTAGGTATACTTACAAGATACCATTGGTCTCTGAATTTAGGATCACTAGGAATACCATCCTTTCTTGTTCTTACTAAGATGTGCTGATGTTCCGCCCATACAACCTAGGACACAGAACAAATGACATTTCTAAAGTACCATAAAAATCAAGAAAAATGCTAAAACGGAGCCTATAGTCCTGAGCCTGCGAGCAGGCTCTTCGCGTGGCAAGTAAGAAGGACTGGTGACAATTTTCTTTCCCCGCGATGAGCCTGTTCGCAGACTGCATACTCCTTTGTATAAATTATAATGAGGTGAATTCGATAATGCACTCAGCAGAGCATCAAGATTGGCGTAAACTATCAAAATCAAGATTACTCAATTAATATTAAATATTTAATATTGTAACATATCAAGGAGGCTGGCAACATTTTCCAGCAATGTTCTAACAGCCATACTTTGAAGAATGAATACTACTACTGTTAAACAATTGCAAGTGACGTGATGCAATAATGGTTTCAAACAAATGCCCAATCATTGGTAAACAAGTTGCAGCCATCCTTTCTATATAACAGGTCACCACAGCAACAATGCAACCTGCAAAAAACACCCTTAATGTTAGCTTTAAGCGCTTATAACTCAAAAACGAGCTCGGTGATCCCCATTTTCTTTATTATAGAATTGTGATAAGCATGATAAAATGCAACTTTTAACAAAGTTTAAAAACATTCTGTGGCAAGGGTTCAAGCTACCTTAAATTTTCGAAACTTTTTGCAAGTATGACCGAGAAGTTGAACTAGGGTCTACTGAGAAACGGCTCCAGCTTAGTGGTCAGAACTGAACTTGAACCCGCCACGACCTCTGGATTTCAAATCCAGAGCCCTGACCTCTCGGCCTCGCTACTTCCTTACAATCCTAAGAGAGTAACGGTGAGAGAGAGGTCGGATTATCTAACGTGTAGGAAAGTTCAACATGATGAAGACGAGGCAATCTTACTTCTTCTTCAGATAGTAATAACTTGGTCTTTTCATGTATGTGACGCTTGTGACGTAAACCTTTGCCTACATGTTTAAAATGATAATAACCTCTAAGTGACCCAACCTGGAATAAAATCACACCAAGAGTTAATCACAACTACAACTAATGACACAAAAAGATTAGCCAAGTAGCACGCAAAAGGGTCGAAGTAAGTCGTTCTTATTCAATTTGTTTCCGTATTCCGAACTGTTATAAACGACCGTTAAATTACCATGTTCATGGAACACCACAACAAAGATATAAACCGGCTGAACTGTTAAAGGGAGAGCAATTTTAATATAGTTTTTTGAGATTTTTACCGAGACAGGACGACAGAAATACCAACACTCTGCCAAACTTTTTCAATTTGAGATCACAACCTTGTGCTTTTAAAAACTGGCATAACACTTCTCGTATAGCTTTAGTGCCTTATAAGGTAATTTCAACAAACGTAGACCATTTAATTTAAGTTTCAAGAAATACAAATGTCTATAAGGTTTTGGCCTTTCGAAGCGCGCTCATGATATATAATAATTAGGTTATGAGCTCGAGATTTCTATCGCTTGATAGTTGACTAGGGCTGCGCATAGAAATTGAAAGCAAATTGCTTTTAGTATAAATCTACCAGTCGTTCAAAACTCTATTTAATCCGCTTGACTTGACAGACACTTCGAACACTCAAAGAAGTGGCCGCCATTTTTGTAACAACCACACTTTGTTAGGCTACTCACTATCTACAACAGAATAGATAGAGAGTGGTGTAGCCAATAAGAGAACGGCATTCGTGATAGAAAGCTAAGGCGCAATAAGATGTATTGCCTTTCTTTGTCAAGCTGGGACGCGCTACTCGATTAGTCTTAAGTGAACTCAAACGAGGGTAAAAGCTGTTCAGTTAAGTGTATACAAACTCGAAAAGTCGCTACAATGAAACAACAAAATACGTCAAACTGCAGGGGTTCATAATTTTTCAGTCAGGCAGTAAAAGCAAAATATTAATCTTATGAAAGCGCGATTAATTAAAAGAATTTACATTTCTCCTAAAATTTGAAATTCTTTAAAATTGCACTCGCCTAAGGCCCCTTGGACCTCTTGCAATTTCCCGACATTTTTCAAAACTTCTCGTGAAAAGCCGCAATTATACTGCCACCGATTCGATTACTAGAAGTAATGTGATCTTCCTTATAGGTTTCCTTCATGATCACAGCAGCTTGGTTCATTAGTTACCGTGTCATGATGCAAGTCACGGGTGAGACTTGGGCCTAGTCCCTCGCCTTTATCAGAGGCGGTTTGTTTCCTTCCATGCTTTAGGCGGAAAATTGGTAATTAAACAAAACAGCAATAAAACCAATCAATTTGATTTTCCCTTTGGACCCATCAAAACAATCCGAAATTTATTTGTAAAGCACCCTGAGCAATTTTGAATCTGAAGATAAATATAATGCTTTGCTAAAATGTTCGGCTATATTTTAATGGACATGAGGTAAGCAAAGTATGGCTAGAATCTTTATGTACCCTATGAGCTTTGCTTGAGAAGTATAGCACTTAAAAACAGAAGTCGAAACAAACTGGAGAACTCTTAACATAACTGGTGCTGAACAAACACAACCAATTGTTGATTTACCTGTAGTATGGCGCACTTAATGTTACGATTTCAAGAAATTAAGCGAACATTTCTATAAAAAACAGCGCAAAGTTTGCATCTGTGTTGTGAATTACCGTTAAGGCCAATGGCAAGGGTTTCTAACATCAAAAGAACAATAGATCGAAGGATGCATCTCTTCAAAGCGTAGGCCACCGGGCGGAATTATTGACGTTTAAACTCAAAGCTAAGAACACCCGCAGAACAACATAAAGAAAAAACCCAATCTTACCTGGCCATAGTTTGTAAATCCATGTTTCTTAGCAATCCTGTCCGCGACTTTTATCTCGGCGGGGTCAAGTTTGACAGCCCAGGAATTGGTGAACATAAGCTCTCCATTGTCGTTTTTAAGCGCATCTTCGAACTTATGAAGCTGTTCCCATTCTCTGCGCGTTAGCTTCGGCGTCGACTCGAGCGTTCGCTTGCCTCTTTTACGTGACTTCTTGGCAGGCTTTCCCAGCAAGACGGCGATCTCCGACGTGAGGAAAAACAACGTGATGTAAACACGCCATCGCACCGGTTTCATTTTTTACTTTCTAAGGAAATAGTTATAGAAATCGAGGCCAATTTTGTTGAATAAATTCATGAATATGGCCCAACTACTTAGGCAGTCTGACGCGCGGTATAACTCAGGGTGGACAGCAGGTTGTGGGCTGTCTCGGAACAAACGCTTCGTTGAACCTAACTCTTTCCTTGCCCATGCATGTAATTTCTCATACGAAAATATCACTCACACCACACACAAGCCGTAGGTATAGTCGAGCACCCATCGGCACGTTTACCGAGAAAACCGCGCGCCACTGAACAACGCACGCGATAGAGTAAATCTGAGTAGAATTCGAAGCACAGATATAAAACTTGTGATCTGTGAAGTATTTGAAGGTGATCAGGTCTTTGAAGGTGTGGTTTGTGACATTTTGAACACACCTCATATCCATTTAAGAGTTGGTCACCTCCTTATATTACTGTAAATACACTGAAAGAGGAAGAAAAACAGTCCTTATCCGTCTATTTTTTTCGAGCATTCCAAGGTCATAAAAAAGCGGTCACAAGATTAACAGTTTCATTTGTTTAACGGTCCTTGACAAGTGACAGGAGCTTTTAAAAATATAGACAACTAACGGATAGATTGAACAGTGGATTCAAAAAATCCCCCAAACATCAGGCATACAATTGAATGACCTCTTGGAATTCTCTTTCCATTTCGCATATGTCCAACCAAGCCTGCGTCGCAGATGCCAACAACATCACGCCGGTTCGCTGGAAATATACTGTAGTGGATCTCTTCCATCTCCGTCTAAAAGTTCCTGAGAGGTGATCATTCAAGACTTTTCCTAAACAAACTAGTCGAGCGTACGGAGTTTTAATAAAAGTACGAACGATGCCGAGTTTTTTCAGTGATAATGCTTCTCCAGAGAATGCGCACAGACATAACTAAGTTGGCGGATCGTTCAATCTTCTAAAGTAATTTTTAGGCGCTAATTGAAATAAATATGTATAAGGGGAGCTTCCATTAAATTGCAAGCACGTAGGGCCTTAGAAGTAAATTAAAGCAACTTTTTGCGGTGAAGACAACAGAGCAATACTCGTTCAGGAAACTCCATAAGCAAACACACAGGCTCTCAGTATACAATACTCCCGGAGCGAGGAAGCTACTTGCAGCAGCCGTTGCAGCCAAAATTTGCCTCAACCTGCGATTTCGGTAAGCGAGATGGCAACAAGCTGAGATAACGACCTTTCAAATTGACCTCGTCTAGCAGGGTCAGGGTTCCTGGCCGGGATTTTAAGATGACGACCTGCCATCTTTAAAACCACCAATGTGAAGGTCTTGAGGCGAGGTTGACCTTGAAACAAAGCTCGTGTATTTGTGACTGCATCGCGAATTCTTCGGGTGAAAACGGCAGTTCTCAGATAGGCCACGCCCGAATTATCTTATCTTCAAAACGTGCCTTCGTGCAAAATCTTTCATATGAAAATGAGTTTGATTTACACGAAAATNCTGAGAGCCTAGGTATACTTACAAGATACCATTGGTCTCTGAATTTAGGATCACTAGGAATACCATCCTTTCTTGTTCTTACTAAGATGTGCTGATGTTCCGCCCATACAACCTAGGACACAGAACAAATGACATTTCTAAAGTACCATAAAAATCAAGAAAAATGCTAAAACGGAGCCTATAGTCCTGAGCCTGCGAGCAGGCTCTTCGCGTGGCAAGTAAGAAGGACTGGTGACAATTTTCTTTCCCCGCGATGAGCCTGTTCGCAGACTGCATACTCCTTTGTATAAATTATAATGAGGTGAATTCGATAATGCACTCAGCAGAGCATCAAGATTGGCGTAAACTATCAAAATCAAGATTACTCAATTAATATTAAATATTTAATATTGTAACATATCAAGGAGGCTGGCAACATTTTCCAGCAATGTTCTAACAGCCATACTTTGAAGAATGAATACTACTACTGTTAAACAATTGCAAGTGACGTGATGCAATAATGGTTTCAAACAAATGCCCAATCATTGGTAAACAAGTTGCAGCCATCCTTTCTATATAACAGGTCACCACAGCAACAATGCAACCTGCAAAAAACACCCTTAATGTTAGCTTTAAGCGCTTATAACTCAAAAACGAGCTCGGTGATCCCCATTTTCTTTATTATAGAATTGTGATAAGCATGATAAAATGCAACTTTTAACAAAGTTTAAAAACATTCTGTGGCAAGGGTTCAAGCTACCTTAAATTTTCGAAACTTTTTGCAAGTATGACCGAGAAGTTGAACTAGGGTCTACTGAGAAACGGCTCCAGCTTAGTGGTCAGAACTGAACTTGAACCCGCCACGACCTCTGGATTTCAAATCCAGAGCCCTGACCTCTCGACCTCGCTACTTCCTTACAATCCTAAGAGAGTAACGGTGAGAGAGAGGTCGGATTATCTAACGTGTAGGAAAGTTCAACATGATGAAGACGAGGCAATCTTACTTCTTCTTCAGATAGTAATAACTTGGTCTTTTCATGTATGTGACGCTTGTGACGTAAACCTTTGCCTACATGTTTAAAATGATAATAACCTCTAAGTGACCCAACCTGGAATAAAATCACACCAAGAGTTAATCACAACTACAACTAATGACACAAAAAGATTAGCCAAGTAGCACGCAAAAGGGTCGAAGTAAGTCGTTCTTATTCAATTTGTTTCCGTATTCCGAACTGTTATAAACGACCGTTAAATTACCATGTTCATGGAACACCACAACAAAGATATAAACCGGCTGAACTGTTAAAGGGAGAGCAATTTTAATATAGTTTTTTGAGATTTTTACCGAGACAGGACGACAGAAATACCAACACTCTGCCAAACTTTTTCAATTTGAGATCACAACCTTGTGCTTTTAAAAACTGGCATAACACTTCTCGTATAGCTTTAGTGCCTTATAAGGTAATTTCAACAAACGTAGACCATTTAATTTAAGTTTCAAGAAATACAAATGTCTATAAGGTTTTGGCCTTTCGAAGCGCGCTCATGATATATAATAATTAGGTTATGAGCTCGAGATTTCTATCGCTTGATAGTTGACTAGGGCTGCGCATAGAAATTGAAAGCAAATTGCTTTTAGTATAAATCTACCAGTCGTTCAAAACTCTATTTAATCCGCTTGACTTGACAGACACTTCGAACACTCAAAGAAGTGGCCGCCATTTTTGTAACAACCACACTTTGTTAGGCTACTCACTATCTACAACAGAATAGATAGAGGGTGGTGTAGCCAATAAGAGAACGGCATTCGTGATAGAAAGCTAAGGCGCAATAAGATGTATTGCCTTTCTTTGTCAAGCTGGGACGCGCTACTCGATTAGTCTTAAGTGAACTCAAACGAGGGTAAAAGCTGTTCAGTTAAGTGTATACAAACTCGAAAAGTCGCTACAATGAAACAACAAAATACGTCAAACTGCAGGGGTTCATAATTTTTCAGTCAGGCAGTAAAAGCAAAATATTAATCTTATGAAAGCGCGATTAATTAAAAGAATTTACATTTCTCCTAAAATTTGAAATTCTTTAAAATTGCACTCGCCTAAGGCCCCTTGGACCTCTTGCAATTTCCCGACATTTTTCAAAACTTCTCGTGAAAAGCCGCAATTATACTGCCACCGATTCGATTACTAGAAGTAATGTGATCTTCCTTATAGGTTTCCTTCATGATCACAGCAGCTTGGTTCATTAGTTACCGTGTCATGATGCAAGTCACGGGTGAGACTTGGGCCTAGTCCCTCGCCTTTATCAGAGGCGGTTTGTTTCCTTCCATGCTTTAGGCGGAAAATTGGTAATTAAACAAAACAGCAATAAAACCAATCAATTTGATTTTCCCTTTGGACCCATCAAAACAATCCGAAATTTATTTGTAAAGCACCCTGAGCAATTTTGAATCTGAAGATAAATATAATGCTTTGCTAAAATGTTCGGCTATATTTTAATGGACATGAGGTAAGCAAAGTATGGCTAGAATCTTTATGTACCCTATGAGCTTTGCTTGAGAAGTATAGCACTTAAAAACAGAAGTCGAAACAAACTGGAGAACTCTTAACATAACTGGTGCTGAACAAACACAACCAATTGTTGATTTACCTGTAGTATGGCGCACTTAATGTTACGATTTCAAGAAATTAAGCGAACATTTCTATAAAAAACAGCGCAAAGTTTGCATCTGTGTTGTGAATTACCGTTAAGGCCAATGGCAAGGGTTTCTAACATCAAAAGAACAATAGATCGAAGGATGCATCTCTTCAAAGCGTAGGCCACCGGGCGGAATTATTGACGTTTAAACTCAAAGCTAAGAACACCCGCAGAACAACATAAAGAAAAAACCCAATCTTACCTGGCCATAGTTTGTAAATCCATGTTTCTTAGCAATCCTGTCCGCGACTTTTATCTCGGCGGGGTCAAGTTTGACAGCCCAGGAATTGGTGAACATAAGCTCTCCATTGTCGTTTTTAAGCGCATCTTCGAACTTATGAAGCTGTTCCCATTCTCTGCGCGTTAGCTTCGGCGTCGACTCGAGCGTTCGCTTGCCTCTTTTACGTGACTTCTTGGCAGGCTTTCCCAGCAAGACGGCGATCTCCGACGTGAGGAAAAACAACGTGATGTAAACACGCCATCGCACCGGTTTCATTTTTTACTTTCTAAGGAAATAGTTATAGAAATCGAGGCCAATTTTGTTGAATAAATTCATGAATATGGCCCAACTACTTAGGCAGTCTGACGCGCGGTATAACTCAGGGTGGACAGCAGGTTGTGGGCTGTCTCGGAACAAACGCTTCGTTGAACCTAACTCTTTCCTTGCCCATGCATGTAATTTCTCATACGAAAATATCACTCACACCACACACAAGCCGTAGGTATAGTCGAGCACCCATCGGCACGTTTACCGAGAAAACCGCGCGCCACTGAACAACGCACGCGATAGAGTAAATCTGAGTAGAATTCGAAGCACAGATATAAAACTTGTGATCTGTGAAGTATTTGAAGGTGATCAGGTCTTTGAAGGTGTGGTTTGTGACATTTTGAACACACCTCATATCCATTTAAGAGTTGGTCACCTCCTTATATTACTGTAAATACACTGAAAGAGGAAGAAAAACAGTCCTTATCCGTCTATTTTTTTCGAGCATTCCAAGGTCATAAAAAAGCGGTCACAAGATTAACAGTTTCATTTGTTTAACGGTCCTTGACAAGTGACAGGAGCTTTTAAAAATATAGACAACTAACGGATAGATTGAACAGTGGATTCAAAAAATCCCCCAAACATCAGGCATACAATTGAATGACCTCTTGGAATTCTCTTTCCATTTCGCATATGTCCAACCAAGCCTGCGTCGCAGATGCCAACAACATCACGCCGGTTCGCTGGAAATATACTGTAGTGGATCTCTTCCATCTCCGTCTAAAAGTTCCTGAGAGGTGATCATTCAAGACTTTTCCTAAACAAACTAGTCGAGCGTACGGAGTTTTAATAAAAGTACGAACGATGCCGAGTTTTTTCAGTGATAATGCTTCTCCAGAGAATGCGCACAGACATAACTAAGTTGGCGGATCGTTCAATCTTCTAAAGTAATTTTTAGGCGCTAATTGAAATAAATATGTATAAGGGGAGCTTCCATTAAATTGCAAGCACGTAGGGCCTTAGAAGTAAATTAAAGCAACTTTTTGCGGTGAAGACAACAGAGCAATACTCGTTCAGGAAACTCCATAAGCAAACACACAGGCTCTCAGTATACAATACTCCCGGAGCGAGGAAGCTACTTGCAGCAGCCGTTGCAGCCAAAATTTGCCTCAACCTGCGATTTCGGTAAGCGAGATGGCAACAAGCTGAGATAACGACCTTTCAAATTGACCTCGTCTAGCAGGGTCAGGGTTCCTGGCCGGGATTTTAAGATGACGACCTGCCATCTTTAAAACCACCAATGTGAAGGTCTTGAGGCGAGGTTGACCTTGAAACAAAGCTCGTGTATTTGTGACTGCATCGCGAATTCTTCGGGTGAAAACGGCAGTTCTCAGATAGGCCACGCCCGAATTATCTTATCTTCAAAACGTGCCTTCGTGCAAAATCTTTCATATGAAAATGAGTTTGATTTACACGAAAATGAGCCTGTAGGCAGAAAACATTTTCATATGAATGGTTTCGCTCGAAGACTCGTTTTGACTCACAGGCAAAAGCATGCCTTAGAATGAGTTGTAACAATAACTGCCGAGGAAGGAACAAATATTATGGCTTGTAATCAATTATCCTGGGCGAAGGGATTTCAGCCTCCGGATGTTGGTAAAGAAAACAAAAATGTGAGACTGGGAAACGCTTTCACTGAACAAAAGCGTGCGAATGCATAAGGAGTTGCGTTTGTTTCTTCGCATCGCGCAGCCTTGGATTGTACACAGCCTCTCTAATTTTAACGCACGCGAAGGAAAAAGCCAGCGAAGCGAGCGCAAGCACGAGGGGGCCGGGTAGTCCCCACCCCCTACCCCTTCGATACGACTCAAGCACAGCCTTTATTTGCAGTGACTTGAGACAACAGGCGGAAATCCGCCAGTGTTAACGAACTGAAAGCTAGCTCACACAATAAATTAATAAATCAACACCTCTTAAAAAAACAAGCGTGTTTAATGTGACTTAAAACAGAAGTCACCAGCCTGGCAAGGAACTGCCTGAAATGAAAGTATCTTTGTAGAGATGGAAACAGCAATGATTATCTCTTGTAAAATAGCACTATCTGTATCTCTGTACAGGTTTAGGTAAGAAGGTTGGAAGGTCGACAACATGTTCCAGTGATTTACACATTCATTTTAAAAACCATTTAACCTGAACATGGTTTCAGCACAGGCTAAGCTATCCCATAATACATGACAAGCCTAAATAGGCCATTTTACAGTTGAATGCAAGCGAGGCTAGAGGTGACAATGCTTGATACAAACCTCCCTGCTTTTCTCATCTAAATGCAAACTAGTAAGCATTAGTGCACCTTGATTTACACAACAAAAACAGTGAGGTCTGTATCAAAACAAGGTCACCTCAAGCCTCGCTGTCATTCAAAGGTCAGGCCACTGGGCAGACAACTGCAAAATGGTCTATCGTAACCACGTTTGTTATCTAAAACGCACTGTAAGCTTCAGTTCAAAATCCCATTCACATCAGTTATCATGTAAAACATGGCGAGACCGTCATAAATACAAGATATTTTAACTACCAAATACAGACAATTCCTTGAAACGCTGGGACTCTGAAAGGTGATAGTTCTACGCAAGAGTTTTCAATGATTTACCTATGAAATTAATCATCTACAGATTATACACAGACTATGTTTATTTTTGCACTGGTATTATCTTTGTTTTGAACAGTAAGTAAAAAATCGTCAAAAAAAAACATTCGACAATTCACTGAAAGAATGTAAATAGAGGAGGGGAGAGACCACAACATGGCGTTTAAACCACATATTGAATGTTGATTTCCTAACAAAGACGATTTTTACAGGATAGGACAAGTTTTAAAAATCTCGATATTCGGCTTAACCAACACTGAACTCATCTTCTGGAAAGAACGCCTTAAAACAATCCAAATGATTTTAATTTTTAAGTGTAAATCTACTAGCGTTCTATCACGAATGCCGTTCTCTGATTGGCTACGCTACTCACTATGTATTCTGTGATAGATAGTGAGTAGCGTAGCAGTGTGCGCTTGTTAACAAAATGACACCCGCCACTTCTTTGCGTTTTCGAAGTGTCTGTGAAGAGTTTTGAGGTAAAGTTGTGAACGACTAGTAGACTTGTACTAAAACAATTAGATTATTCGCTCTCGATTTCTATGCGTGATAGATGATTCGGGCTGCGCCCTCGTCAACTGTCACGCGACAGAAATCTCCACCTGATAATCTAATTGTTAAATAGAATCGAATATATGGCTCAGCCAAAGGTTTCGATTCTATACACGGTTGTAGTAAGGTGTAATATTATCACAAACCACTCTTGAGCCTGTTTTCTTTTTTTTTTCAAAATTAAGCCAAATGATGGTCTAATATATACCTAGATGTAGCTGTGGTTGGTCTGTTCCTGAGAATTATAAAATTGATAAATTAATAAAAATTGCTAGACTAAATGTTCTTAATTTTCAGTTCCATAAAATGTCAACACCCATTTCAACAACACCCCTGAACAGCCGCTGCCCAAACAAGGGATCTCGGGATTTTCGTAGCCCGCGTTCACTTGAACACGCTGGGTAGCGGTCTCCTCGGCCGCTACTTGAACCTTCTTCTTTATCGTATTAGAGTTATTGTCTACAACAACGCTTTTCTTTGCAACTGGTTTGTTTGTTTTCCTCTTTCCAGGTTTATATTTCGTTTTCTTAGGTACAGATGGTTTTTCTTCGAAAGTATCTTTAAGGTCTTCGTTATCATTGGAGATGTCTTCGTCGAGATATTCCTCGTCGTCGGGTACACCGTCCCAAGATGCCTCCCTCAATTCCGCGGGATTCGAAATGTCGTCCCGCTCTTCGGCATCCATGTCATCGTCGGGGATTTCTTCTAAGTAAACTCTCTCATTACCTGATCCCATGGGATGTTCCCCACTAGAAGATCCCTCGGGATTAAGGTCAAGCCCGGGAACTCCGAAATCCTGATCATTACCGGAAATATCTCCGCTTCCAGAATTTTGGGGATACGAGATTCGGCTGCGATCGTACACGTATTCCGTGGTGCTGGCCACGTCGCTTTCTGTGAGATTATAAAGATCGTCTATCACGCTTTGTTCGCTCATTTCAGACCTGTTCTGGTGCCGCACTTCATCTCGTCTAACGCCAGGGGGATATGGAAAGTCAACATGGGCATTCTAGCAAAGGAAAATTATGGTATAAAATGAAACCCAGAAATGATACAATGTCGTAAAGCCACAATAATCACTTCAACTCATCACAGCAAACGGAAACAACGAAACTGTTCAATCAAAACTTCAAGCAAAAACTGCAACTGACGTCAAGCGCGGGAAAGAGTATAACCGGTACCAAGAGAACGCATCCAGTTACAAACACAGAAAAAATCGTCAGCGGTACCAAGCGCAGGAAACAGCAGAATGCTCGCAGTCTCTCTTTTGCTCTAGAACCCGCAGGGAAGACCGCAAAAATTGAGCGAACGACTACAATATTCGAGGGGTGGGAGACTAAACCGCAAGTAGCCCGGGGGTCAGAAAACGAGCGAAAAGAGACACCACGCCCGCAACACTCGCGACTCGTAGCTTCATCGCTCGCCTCTGAAATATCGTGCTAGTTCCCACAGGTTTCTTTTAACGTATTTCGCTGCAGATTTTAGAGCAAAAGACAGACTACTTGCAATCTATGAAAAATTAGAACCAGTGTAAAGCGCAGAGAAACCGCATCCGGTGACAAGCGTGCGAAAACACGCCACCGGCACAAAGCGCGGGAAAACGTGCAACCGGTGTCGTCCGGATTTTTGTTCCTGACGTTGGAGAGCGTTGTGTGATTAATTTTTTCCAAGGCACGTGTAACTACATTGTTTTTGCACACTTGTGATGATACCTGTAATTTCAGCTGTTGTACATGGGTCTGTTGCTGTTTGGTTTGATCGTCGATAACTTGTTCTTCTAAGTCCTCCACATCAGTGTCCTGTTTACTGGTGTCTAGATGCAGTGTCCCGAACCCATTCAACACGCGATCCCCGATTTCATTCAGAGGATTGTCTATGAGCTTCAACTGCCAGAAACCGCGAGGATTCTCACCTAAATAATGACACATTTAACAGTGTAACCTAGTTCGTTTTCAAGTGAAACAGCATGATTTGGGAAAATGATTATTGTAAATACTGTCACAAAACGATCAATAAATGAATGGTTCGATTTTGTGGAACAGCACCCAACAAAAGGTAGGAACCCGAATGGAAGCGAGGTCAGATGGCTGAAGATGCCGAGGATAGAAACAGCTTACAATGTGGCATGACCACACTTGAAGAAACGCAAAGAGGTCATGGGAAAAAAGTTCCATTTGTAAACAGCACTACGTATAAAATTGAGCAGTTTGTATAGATACTAACCAGTCTAAGTAGGTTGCCCGGTGCCCAGGAGGAAAGTAAAAAATTCCCTGGTTTTGTCTTGACCAGAATAAAACTTGCCTCCAATTTATTTTGAAAAACATTTTCACTGACTACAACAAAACTTTTCTCGACTACAGCAACGGGAAAATAAAATTCTCTAAATTTCATAAAAATTTTACATTTTTCTGGCCAGATTAGAAATTCCCTGACCTTGAAAAAGAAGCCCGACTTTTTTCCTGACCTGTAGCAACTCCATTTACCCTGTTCTTCACAGAAAGTCTATTTCTCCAAACAATGCTAGAAGAAATATACAGATACTACTAAGGACATTTTGGTTGTTGAACAGTGCTTACCCCAGCAGTGGACAGTCATGAAGCCCCAGTTGTCAAGCCCTTCCTTTGAGTCATCGTAATGGCGCGTTGACAGCATCTCATTCTTTGTCCCGGATGGTGACATCAGAAGAATGCTGACGTCACCGCGGCGCCGGTGAATGAAACTGATGGTGAGTACCACGTGTTCGAGTTTGTTTATCTCGGCAATAGTCCCCGCGCACGCTTTGGTGGGTATGGACAGCTCCAGGGCACCTCCTGATGGGATGTCTCTGTGCAGCGAAAGACATGCAAGGCATAAATGATATCACTCTGTGTCGCTATATGAAGAACCGAAGGCTCGTTGCAGGTCACCTTAGAATAGCTTCGGTTTAATGTGGTGATTTCAATCAATTGCCGCTCTGTTGCTAAAGAAGAATTACAATTTTCGATCCCTAACATATGAATATAAGCTGGCCTGTTTCTGGTTTTTGAAGGCTCTTTCACCATTTTCAAGTCACATCAAAATCTGGCAAGTGAAGTCATATGACCAGAAACACCAAACCGCCTCAAACCGCATAAAAAGCAATACCAGTGGTTCGAATCGAATAAATCGCACGTGTTTGTTGCACAATCCATATTATCTGAAACAACCAGTAAGTCACAGAGAGCAATTTGAGTAAACCCAAAACTAAAGCAACTGTATCAATTTTCTTTAAAAATTCTTTCGAGAAAAGTGTTTGGTAACCAAATTAATGATAAGTCAGGGCTCGGAAAAAAAAATAGAATTCCAGCTTGCACTTCGGACAAGCAGCCCTCAAATTTTGCTTGCCCTGGACAAGTCTTAGTTTACTTGTTTTCTACCTAGTTGGCAGAATATACGCCTGGGCCCTTGCCCTTGCGGAAAGTCAAGAGAGAGTGAAAAATTAAATGGCCGGCAGGAAAATCTACTAGTCCTGGGGAACCGGACGGCGCTTTTTTCGAGCCCTGTGAGTATGATAAGTAACGATGAAGCTACTGACTGTTGCTCACCGCTCTTCTATGCTAGCAGCACCAGTGCAGATGCGTTGAGCGGGAACAGTAGTCCATGATTTGGCCATTTCAACCATAGCGTCAGCATCAAGGCGGCCGAAACCGAACTTGTGATTAAAATGAAATCCAGCTCCGTTTGTACGCCAGCCGTCGTCTACAGGACTCGTTAGTTTGGCTGTTCTGACCACGATGTGTTGTACATCTCGCCATGTAAGTTTATTACTGAAACAGAAAACAAAAACAATGTTTATCACAAATAAACATCCGCAATGATTCAAACGCAGAATGACACATTTGCATGCATCATGTTATCATCGGTATCGGCGCTAACTCAGGATTCTGTAGCATGAGGCGACTCTTGAAGGTCCCGAAAAGTTTTTGCACCCGGAAAGCCGTAACAAAATCTCAAACGCTATGATTACAGAGCTGTTTTCTTCACATATTCTTAATACGATCAGAGGTTCTCTTCATACAAGAAGTTTCAGGCGTATACACTTCTCTGTTTTTAGATACAGGTTAACTAAAAATGGCTTTCAAGAACCGGGTCCCAGGGCTGGGTTGTTCAAAGCCCGATTAAGCTAACCCAGGATTAGCGAGAATTTTTATTTCAGTTTTGTTAACTTTTCGGTAAGTTTTTCAGTTTATATTGTCTGTCCTTCTGTTTTGAGCTTGAATAATTTCAAACTACACAAAACATAAGTAGGGAAAAACATTTTTGTAGAGGAAAAATTAGACTCAGAAAGTCCGATCCGGATGTCTAACACTTTTAACGCCATAACGTATGTACCACATAGAGTGATATTTGTCAATTGTTTGGATCAGGCCCTAGTTTTAGTTGGTTCCATAAGCAGAAAAACCCGAGCTAATGGCGGAAGCCTGTGGCAGCTTAGGTGAAGCGCCAGAACTTGTCGGTAGTGTACCAGCTCTTGCAATCTTGTAATTCTATTTGTCGTCATTGCAGCAGCTGTTATTGTTTTAGGGCTAGGGGGCATTGTTTCTGTTGTGTGTTCTATTGTCCTCTCAAAGGGTATCAAGCCATTTATGTGAGACCTTACGAGAGCTGCAACATGACCGAACTTGCATGGACTCGGTATTACTTACTTAGCCTCTAACATAAGAGCTATCATCCCTGCTGCCAGAGGAGCGGCAGATGAAGTGCCTTTGAATTGCTCTGTGCACTGATGATGAAGATCTGTAGTGATCTACAAAAACAAGCAAATAAATACACAAAAACAACAATTAGAGAATGCAGGTTCGACAAGCATCCACTAAGATCTACTCGCCGTCGGTAATACTGCAGTACAAATAAGAAAACGAATCAAGGTACCATTTTGTTTTCTTCGCGCTCTCTGTGAGCACCTCCGTTAAACGTGACCGCTAAAGTAGAAGAGCAGAGCTCAGTGTAGTAAGCAGACAGACCATGGTCCCCGATACATCCGATAGACACTGTGTAGATACTGGTGGTGTAACCATCACAGTTACAGTCGTCATCTGTCAGACCTCCATTACCAGTCGCCCACACGTAGATGTTACCTTTGCCGCCACGACCCTGGAATAGAAAAAACAACACGATTGGCATTATCGCAACGTGGAGAATTGATAATTATCTTCCAAAGGAAGGAATCTTAAAAATAAGCGTTGATTAAGGATGAAAAACCCAAAAGCAGTAATGATAAGTATAAACGACCACGGATGGTCAAGATTGGAGGAGATTGGGCCGGATTTATTACGAACTGCCATAACTATCGGCCTCTGGATGCCGCTAATTCGATGCACTTTTAAGACAAAGCGATACACGCATTTACTGGTCGCACTTCAATGATGTAAGGCCGGTCTCCACCACAGTAATGCGTTTTTTAAAGTATCCGTTTTCGTCACAACCAAAGCGAAGCAAAATATTTTCGCCCACACTAACGTTTTCGGTTTGTTTTCACTTGTCCACAATACTGCGTTTTCGTATGAAAATACATACTTTTTGATGCGTTTTCGCCTATCGTCCGCACTATAAAAACGACCGAAAACGCTGATAGAAACGACAGTATATGACGCTTTTTCTGGCACCGTTTTCAAAAGCCTCCGTTTTCACCTACCCACTCTAGAAAGGAAACGTTTTCAAAACGATGCGTTTTCAAAAGGCTGCAGTTTTGACACCGTAATCGATTAATGTGGTCAGGGGCTAAGGCATAGTGGTTGTCAACTACTGAGATGTGTCTTTCAGCACTCAGTTACAAGTTAAGTCAACAAATTCCATAGTTTTTTTTAAGTTAAGTGTAATTCCCAGATTTCACAGTAAAACCATAGCACTAGTTAGATAACGCCCGATTAAACCTCGAACAGGAAATAATTCCCCGTGTCTTACCGCCTCAGCTCCTCTCTTCAGGGCCTTGGCTGCTAAGGGACCTGGCTTGCCAAACGTTTTTCCATCATCCTTTGGACCCCAGCAGTTACTGAAGACGTCAACGTACTGAAGTTGAAATCCCAGGGAGCTGGCCTCTAACGCATCTGTGGCCTTACCGTCCAACATGCGAACACCTGAAATGCACGCGCTTTGTGTTAAATTTGTGAAAAGGCTATCTGAAACAAACTGAGCACTTCGAAGCCTGTAAATAAGAGTAGATATCGCAACCAGCCGCTGCTTGACCAGTGACAGGCAAAAAGCGAAGTTAGCAGAAGTCTTTTATGATGAATCAGTTTCACTCTTCGGTTAATTAAGGGAAGCGGTTTTTTTTTTTTTTTTTTTTTGCATCTCTTGCTAAAAATCACAGCGCATTAACTACTGTAAGTTCCTCTTTACGAATGCTTCCTTATTCTTGACTTTAATACTCTCGCAGTTAAAGGTATTGTCCAACATCGGAATACAGTCGAACCCCTATTAAGCGGCCACCTTTGAAACGGCCAGCCTTATTAGGAGGTCAGTAATCAAGGCCCCTATGAGGGCTTCTGTATTGTTTTGACCTCTATTAAGCGGCCAGGGGCCCATTTCTCGAAAGCCCTGGAAACTTTTCGGGCCCGCAAAGCCATTTTTAGTTTATCTGTATCTAACAACGGAGAAGTGTATACGCCTGAAATTTCTTATATGAAGGGAACCTCTGTTCACATTAAGGATACGTGAATAAAACAGCTCCGTAATCATAAGGTTCAAGATTTTGCTATGGCTTTCCGGGTGCGAAAACTTTTCGGGACCTTCAAGAAACGGGCTCCAGCCACTTTAAGCGACCTCTATCCAATTCCCCGAGGGTGGCCGTTAAATAGGGGTTGAACTGTACTAGGTTTCTCATTAAACAGTTTCATTGACAAAGGATCCATGTTGTAAAGAAAAATAAACGAAATTTATTTCCGACAAAATCATACCTCCAACATGCGCCTGATATGCTACTCCTGCCCCACAGATAGAGTTGTTCGCCAAGGCAGCAACTTCTCCTGCGCAGCGCGTGCCGTGGCTGTAAAAGGAATCAGGAAAAAA